AGGCTAGCAGTTCCGTCACTGCTGATTAGAGCTGGGTTATTGAGTTTCGTTACTTTGAACCCGCCAAGTAATGTAAGCTTTGTGTACGGCTAACTGGCGAACCGCGTGTCGGTTTCGATTTTCTTCAGCCCTCTCCAGGGAGCTCGGAAATATCCGCTTGCAGTCTGTGCTGGCGTGCTGTCGTCTGGTGGAAGAACTACTTCTTTACGGAGGAAGAACAGTGTAGTGTCTGCGGAAGTTGGGTAATGATGAAGCATGATAACAGTGGTTGTTAAATCTGCCTGGCAAAAAAAAAAAGAGCATGTCGTGAGAGTAGACTAATCGGGAATTTTCTTTGAAGTCGGAGTACATCTGCCTGAGAGGCAACGAATCAACAGTTTGCATGCAGACGAGTCAGACCTGTGAAACGGATGTGCACGCAACACTCAGTTTCTGGAACAGGAATAGAGCCCAGAAGTGGACGAACAACCATAACTTTTCTCCTGAGTTTACAACCTGTGAACGCAAAGAAGAAGATGTGGTAGTTAACTACGGTGATGGTGAAGTATGCTACTAAAGACCAAGATTGTTTCAATATTAAAACAACAGATCATCTTCAGATTTCAAGTAATCAGCCACAGCGAGCCACACTAAAACGTTACAACGGGTATAGAGCGAGTGGAAGATCTCAGAAAATATGGAGTGATGGCTTTAAGAACAGCCTTACAGTAATGAACATCAGTCTTAATAGTGCTCTTGACAGAGCTCGTCAATGAACATTACATGTCCCCCCGACACTTGATGAGGTACAAGGTGGAAGAGAAGAAGAAGAAGAAGAAGAAGAAGAAGAAGAAGAAGAAGAAGAAGAAGAAGAAGAAGAAGAAGAAGAAGAAGGCAATTGCAATTCCAACTTCATACAAAAACGGGTAGCCCGTAGTTACCCCGTTCCTGTGCCAACGAATGCCACACAGAATGTATATCACTGTCCCTTGTGAAAACATTGACATGCACTGCGGGCTCAGCTAATCCAATAGCATAAACAAGCATTAAGTTAACTGGGCACCGCCAGAAGTGCCAACATTAACAGTGCGACACTAGAAAAGCAGTTACAACAGATCACTAGTTGCACACGCGATAAATCACATACGGCAACAGCCGTTCTCATTTCAAACCATATCAGGCGCAGTCAAAAAGTATTCCAGTCACAATCCACAGCTCACAGTGTCGCGCCATGCACTCAACGAAGTAGCTGGGCGACGAAACTATATCCTATCTACATATGGAGAAAAATGCAGCGACCAACTACTGTCGCAAGCAAAAATTTGCCACGACTAAAAACTTCAAACCAGACTTATCCTCCATATTGACCGGATCTTTAATCACATCCTTGTAAATACAAGAAGGCGCATGTCGAGCCCGTCTGTCCAACTGTGCTGGATATTGTCCTGACCACAGATCCGTCTAAAACTGGAGGCGTATGCCGCCCTAAAGCGCCACCCCCCCCCCCCCCCCACAAAAAAAAACTGTAAGGAGCTAAACGACCCCCGCCCGCTTTCACATAACCATATTTGTTTCTCTTTTTAAATTTTTGTTTATGCATTTATAATTCCTATTTAATCTTCTGCAATATATCCTTGTTAGAAGAATACTAAATTTCAAATGGTCAGATTTCCGAACCAATACACAAATAAGGCAAGAATCCAGGCAAGAGTATGTGTCTAATTTTATACGAAAACGCCACTGGAACTATGTCGGCCACGCTCTTAGAATGGATAAATCAAGACTTCCTTACCAAGCCCTCATTTGGACACCACAGGGGAAAAGATCTCATGGAAGACCAAGGGAAACCCTACGTAGAACTATCATCAGGGAAGGCTCGCTCATGGGCCACTCAAACATCCAAGACCTACAACAGATTGCAACGAACCGCCATGCATGGAGAGTCATGACCTCTGCCCTATGTGCCGCACTGGACACAAGAGGAAAGACTAACTAATTGAGAGTTAGAAAAAGAATTCTTGCTTGCTACATTCATCCAGTTTTAACACATGGCTGTGAATCCTGGACAATCGGTAGGCAGGCCAAATAATTTCTTGAGGCCTCAGATGTGGTTTTACAGAAGAATGCTTAAAATACCTTGGACAGCCAAAAAAGAGCAACCAAGAGGTTTTGAGAGAGGCGGGAGCCCGAAGACAACTTATCACAGACATCAGAAGGAGACAGTTATCATTACGCAGCAATGTTTTGAGAAGAGGGAAAATAGAAAATGTTGCGACCACTGGAAAGATCTGTGGAAGGAGGGACAGAGGAAGACAACGAGAGAAGTTTCTTGACAGACTTGTTGCATGGCATGGAGGTGTGTCGGCACACAAACTGATACATCCTGCAGGAGATCGCAGATTGTGGTGGGGCATGATCGCCCACGCTACTCGACAAAACACCTGATGATGATGATTCTATTTTGTTCAGATTATTATAATTTAATTTATTATTAATAATATTATTGCGCACTTCTTCTTCTTCTTAGCGTTTACCGACTGTAAACTCCGGAGTAAGTTTTGGTTGTTCGTCTACTTCACATATCTGGCTTATTTGTATTCAGACTTAGCACATCACCTCCGACTTTGAAGGAACCATCCCTGATTAGTTACCATATACACAAGTTTGTAAGAGGACAGTGAGTCTCTTAATGTTTCGCCAAGCTGAGGCCCTGGAATTTACACGTGGAAGGAATTACGCACTTAAACAAGATGTATGCTCTTTGAGAGCCTCTTCTCCTGTAAAGGTGTCAGAGGACAGTTTACTGGTAAACCGAATAGTAAACTTCTTCTTTTTTCTTCTTCTTCTTCTTCTTCTTCTTCTTCTTCTTCTTTCTTCTTCTTCTTCTTCTTCTTCTTCTTCTTCTTCTTCTTCTTCTTCTTCTCCTCCTCCTCCTCCTCCTCCTCCTCCTTCTTCTTCTTCTGTGTTCACCGGCTGTGAATTTCGGCGGAAGGTCCCGATAGATCGTCCATTTGAACTTTTGGCTTTTAACTGGACCTGAGTTTTGTGTGACTGAATTGCTTTAGACATATCGAGATCCGTAATATTTTGGAGAGAACAGTAGTGGGGGGGGGGGGGGGGGGGGTATGATTCCTTTTAGAAGAGGCAGGGATCCACCAGCACGGCGCTAGACACAGTGTATCAAAGATACTATGGGCACGTGAGTTCAGGAGGTGGACTGGTCGGCACGGAGCTGAGTGGTTTTCTGGCATGCGGCGATGAGATCGACATTCTGCAAAGGATCTACTACATTAATTATTTTTTTTTTTTTTTTAGCTTTCACCGGCTTTAACTGCGGTGGAAAGTTCTGGTTGTTCGTCCACTCCTGAACTTCGGTCTTGATCCAGAACTTGACTTTTGCGTGCACCTCCGTTTAACAGATCTTGCTTTTTTATATACAGACTGTTGGCGTCTTACCTCTTAGGCACATGCACTTCGATTTTGAGGGAAACGGTCCTAATTAGTCGCCTCCTACGACGTGCTTGTTGATGGGTAGTGGTTCTGTTCTTTGTTCTCCAAAAAGGAGCAGAGGAACCCACACGGCTAGTACGATCAGTAAGTAGTTATACAGGGAATATGAACAGTTGTAACCAGGGAACAGACTAAGACCAGAAGTCTAGTTTAGCTTACGGGACTGGCATTCTTGAGTTGATCTGAGTTGAGTTTCATGAGCCGACATCACAGCAGGCGAGATATCCCCATAAGCACTAAGTCTCCATATGCAACAGCCAGCGAAGACCTCCAGCTCTGATAGTACCAGCAGCTGTTTGACTGTATGACGATCTTGCCTTTCCTCCGAGGGTGGAATGTCGGCCAGATCACCTGCTTATGTCCTGTGAGACACCGTTTTCTTTAGATCTTGATAAGCTAATTGCGCCTCTGTACTTTTGGCTCACTCCAAATGAGTATTGACCGCATCTGGCTTGTCATGTATACATTTACCATCTCGCGTTCTTCAAGGGTTAAAATAATTCTGCTACAGTTGTAATTCTTCGATCCAGCTGCGTGTTTCAGAAATAACTGCTCCCAGTGACAAATATCTTCGCGTAGGCGCCGACGAAATCGATATAAAGATTCTGTATCTTCAGCGGTCTCATCCATTCATTCATTTATGTAAAGTGAAACAAAAATAATCGACCACGTTCAACCTTCTGCAAGCAGTATTGATTATAACTGTGGTCTGGTTTCTTTGTGCTAATTATGTTGGCTACTAAATGTCATTTGCACCAAAACAAGTGGCTTGGAGCGGAACTCTAGCACCTAGTGAGGGCTGTGGAAGGGGGGGAGGCATGCACTAAACACTACACACACATATACAGACATACATGTACAATTACACACACAAACCATATATATAAACACACACACATACACACACATAACATAGATGTCTGCAAGCCCATGTGTGAATGCACGCATACGCGTTTGCATACACACACATGGATATATACGTCTATGCGCACACGTATTTTGTATTTGGTTTATTACGTACTACGCAGCTGGACCGACCAATCATGACTGGTACCTTTCCGTCTTTCCAGAAGATAGTGCTATATTGCGCTATGAGGAGGCAATGGACTCACAGCCCATGGCGATGGCGAGTGTGACTAGCAAGACCCGCCGATGTCAAGACAAGTCTTCCACGATGATAGCATGGGATTTCAGGACCATTGTCAACATCTGTGTTTAATCCGTTTCTTCTTAAAGGCTCAGCTTTTATCTTTTCTGCAGTCATTCCTTCCATCACTCTCATTCCCTTCCTGATATGCCCTCTCCACACAACACGGAATTTTGTTCTCATGTGTCCACCTCAGTACCTGTATCATTCATGTCCCGCTTGCACACATCTTTATACCGTAGTAGAGGTCAGCCTCAACATCTTCTACCCGTCTTAAATTCACCATAAAGGATGTCCTTAAGGACATTGTTTGACATAATCTACTTCTAATTCTCAAGAATGTTAAATATTTATTCCTTTCAGAATGCTCCAGATGGATGCACAGTGCACGTGTTTTGTTATCGTAACCTTACTGATACTTGTATTCCACTCATTGTCCCCTGTAGAGGGTAAGTAATCAGTTAACTTTAGTTAGTTAGTCTACCTGAACTTACCATGCTTCTGTCATCATGCCTCTATGTTAAATAGGTTAATAGTTAGTCTACCTGAACTTACCATGCTTCTGTCATCATGCCTCTATGTTAAATAGGTTAATAGTTAGTCTACCTGAACTTACCATGCTTCTGTCATCATGCCTCTATGTTAAATAGGTTAATAGTTAGTCTACCTGAACTTACCATGCTTCTGTCATCATGCCTCTATGTTAAATAGGTTAATAGTTAGTCTACCTGAACTTACCATGCTTCTGTCATCATGCCTCTATGTTAAATAGGTTAATAGTTAGTCTACCTGAACTTACCATGCTTCTGTCATCATGCCTCTATGTTAAATTGGTTAATAGTTAGTCTACCTGAACTACCATGCTTCTGTCATCATGCCTCTATGTTAAATAGTTTAATAGTTAGTCTACATGAACTTCTGATACTTCTGTCATCATGCCTCTATGTTAAATAGTTTAATAGTTAGTCTGCATGAACTTATGATACTTCTGTCATCATTCCCCAATGGTAAATAGTTTAATAGTTAGTCTACATGAACTTCTGATACTTCTGTCATCATGCCTCTATGTTAAATAGTTTAATAGTTAGTCTGCATGAACTTATGATACTTCTGTCATCATTCCCCAATGGTAAATAGTTTAATAGTTAGTCTACATGAACTTATGATGCTTCTGTCATCATGCCTCTATGTTAAATAGGTTTATAGTTAGTCTACATGAACTTATGATGCTTCTGTCATCATGCCTCTATGTTAAATAGGTTTATAGTTAGTCTACATGAACTTATGATGCTTCTGTCATGGTATCCATATGTGAAATACTTTGATGGTGACTTGTGATACATCTGTTATCGTGTCCCTCTGAAATAGATAGTTACTCTACATAACATTTGATATTTCTGTGACGTAGTACTTAAGGGAAAAACTTTAAAATGTCCTTCTGAAATATTTATCATGGGGCATCTGTGTAAACTATTTTGTAGTTTGTCTCCATTACCTTTTAATGTTTGCATCGTGAAAGCTCTGTATGAAATACTTTCTCCTGTCCATGGACATGGGGATGCAGTCAAACAAACATTTCGCCAAGGGAACAAGATGTGTAAATAACACAGAACAGGTGTCATCGGTCGTTTTACACTAGTGGAGCTTCTGAGAAGGAGATTGGAGCACCTATGGATCTGTTCGGAGTGCTGTGGTGACAGACAATCCTCACTAATCACTATATAACATAACATAACCCTTGACATGTTAACAGTCGTGGAGATGTATCGATAGAAGCACTACTACACACAAAACCCGCTATCTTTCTGTCTTCCGCTTGATGAATGAATGTTTGATAAGTTTTTTGATGTTGTCGTTTAGGTTCTTCTTTGCCCTTCTCTTTTTCGACTATCCCCCAATGTTCCTTGAAGTACAGTCTTTGCAATCGAATCATGTCTCACCGTGTGCCTGAACCAAGCTAGCTTGTGACGTTTAACCACTGCCAAGAGAGGCTCCTGATGTCCTGCAAATTTGTATATTTTGTCTCTGACATATTTATTAGTTGTTTTTTTTTTTTTAAATACCTAATTCGTAAAATGCGTCTATAGCATTTACATTCGAAAGCCTGAATCTTCCTTTTATTTCCACAGTGAGAGTCCAACTCTCACATCTGCTTAAAAGAATAGACAACAGCAGTGATTTGTGTATATTGACCTTAACTGCGATACGGAGTTTGCTCTTTCACATCGTAATCAGCTGGAAAATCGCATGTCAAGCCTTGATCTCATCACTAACTGCTTATCACTCATTAACGCTCTGTATTTCTTTTCCTATCACAGCTTCAGATGACACAAAGGGCCATTGGGGTCCATGGGGCCCCTTGAGTCCTTGCAGTGTCACTTGTGGTTCAGGAATCGCAAACATGGAGCGAGTGTGGATCCCAGGACCAGACGAACAGGATGCTAAAAGCTTTAAAAATCCTTTTACCTTTACCCAAGTGTTTTCATGTACAGACGAGACCTACCCTGAGTGTCCACGTAAGTTTGATTTATGAACAGGTAAAAATGTTCATTAACATGAAATTAAAAAGGAATAGTGAGAAGAAACAATGAGTCAAAACATAAGTAGGTATCTTAGAATGATCTTGTGGTCATTGTTTATTGTGATCTTTCTTATTTGTCTACATTTTATTATATTTGTATGTAAATTTAGTATTATGTAAATGATTATTTTCTATGAATCAATTTTTTTTTCTTCTTTTTCTCCTTCTCCTCATCCTCTGTCACAGCTGCCTCCTCCTCCTCCTTCTTCTTTTTCTTCTTCTTCTTCTTTTTCTTCTTCTTCTTCTTCTTCTTCTTCTTCTTCTTCTTCTGTTTCTTTTTCTGCTTCTGCTGCTGCTTCTTTCTTTTTTCTTTCTTTCTTTCTTTCATTCTTTCTTTCTTTCTTTTCTTTTCTTTCTTTCTTTCTTTTTTTCTTCGTTCTTTCTTTCTTCTATTTTCTTTCTTTCTTTCTTTCTTTTCTTGTCTTTCCTTTTTCTTTCTTTCTTTCCTTTTCTTTCTTTCTTTTCTTTCTTTCTTTCTTTCTTTCTTTCTTTCTTTCTCTTTCTTTTCTTTCTTTCTTTCTTTCTTTCTTTCTTTCTTTTCTTTCTTTTCTTTCTTTCTTTCTTTTTCTTCTTTCTTTCTTTCTTTTCTTTCTTCTTTTCTTTCTTTCTTTCTTTCTTTCGTCTTCTTTTTTTCTTTCGTCTTCTTTTTTCCCTCATCTTTTTCTTTTGCATTCATCCTTACAAAGGAGGTTGACACTTTGTATTGTGGTTTACAGCTAAGCTGGGCTATCTGCATCTTTTGGCCCAACACATTTGACGTTAGCAGACACCTTATTAGCCACCTTAGATGGCATGCTTCTTGATGAAGCAGTGGGGAAGAGTCTTACATACATCATACATTGCTTGGGACTAAATAGAGTTAACAGCTATATAGATCTAAGCCTAAAATACTAAAGTGAGTGATGGAAAGTCAGTCAAGAATCTCTAGAGATGTGGTTTTATAGTCAAATGATGAGAACACCATGGTTAGTTGCGTAACCTTTACAGGAAGTTGCAGAACCAACTTTTTCAGCCCCTGGCTGTTGTGTGGTTTTTCTAGGCAAATTTACATCCAGTAGTTTGCCATTGCTTTCTGGACGGTCGGCTTTCTTGATACCACTGCTGAAACCAACGCAAAGCGCATGGCCCGCAGCTGGGATCGAACCCGGCATTACGAAGTGTTCGCGTCGACTTAGCCCCAGAGCCGACGAACACCATGGACAGATACAAAAAGTAATGAAGATATTTTAGAACTTCTTAACTCACAAAACAAACAAAAATGTGAATATGTGGCCTATTTCATTTTTGGTACAGGATTTTTTTTTCTCTTAACATTTTTAATGTTGAATGTTGAATTAAGAATCGACCCGCATCAGAAGGAGACAACCTACCTTCTTTGGTCACACTGAGAAGTGGTAAACTAAAGTATATTATGAAAGTGGGAAAGTTGAATGTTAAATGTTGAATTAAGAATCAACATCACAGCACTCAGGACACTCCCATAAGTGCTCAATCTCCATCTTCAGTGACAAGTGAAGCGTTCCAATTCCGATGGTACCAGTAACCATCTTATTGTATAATGGGAAAGTTGAGAGGAGAAGAAGCAGAGGGTGATTTTTTCTGATACATATGATCCTCCATGTAATGATGCCAGACTGTCCAGCGTCTTCTTTCTTGTGTTTCACTGACATGCAACTCAATATGCATGTAAAGATTCCTGTGTGTATGATAGAATGTGTTCGTCCTTAAGTCAGCGCATTAGGTCATTTCTATTTTGTTTTGTTTTTGTAACAAATCATTTTACCCTGCAGTATAGGGCTATCCAGTATATACAGGCAGTCTAATCAATAATGTAGTGTATATTTTATTTTCATTGTTTTAGAAAAATTATCTAAAGAAGAAAAGCGATGAGGAGTTAAATTAAAATCAAATATCCCCTATTGGTGCCAAGATACATTATTAGAGGGGATGTAATGAAGTAGACGTAAATGATATTTTTTTTTAAAGGGGGAAGGGGATATCTAGATAATAGAGATACAGATAAGCTACGCAAGTGCCAATGATTTATTTCAAAAATATAAAGTAGCCCTCAAACCTAAAAATGTTGGCCACCACTTTTATAGTGTAATTAGTTATTTAATTTCTATTTTAAATAAAACATGCTTAGAATTAATGTGGGCTAAAAAAAAGTTTGATGGGGACAACAAGAGTTAAGAATATGTAGTTTATTTCCTTTCTGGTACAGGATTTTTCCTCTAACATTTTTTTTC